TGAGACAGGTATCTTGTGTTACCAGAACCAATAACAAGGAGATTTGGTTAATTAGAGAGATCAGGTGGAGGCAAAGAGATCAGTCAAACTGAAGCAGAGAGGAGCAGTGACTGCACAGCACCCCAGGAACCCAAACTGAAAACGACCATACGCCATGAAGCAGGTGATGGTCTTGACACAGGTCGAAATGGAGGACCAAGGGGATAGTGGTGTTCCCCGGCCCGTGGCAGTGGGGTCACCCAAAAGCAGACACCGCTAACGCCGCCCTTGATGCCGGGCAGGGTCAGGTCCAGAGCCCTCGCACGAGGGTTCCTTCCCTCCGGGCGCAGGTGCCCTTCACCCTTCCTGAGGCAGTTTTCTGAGGCTCCTGAGCTCCCCTCCTTCAGGAGGAGGGCAGGCGCGGTGGGAAGGCGTTGGACAGAGCAGACACTCAGCTGGGGTGCGTGCCCGGGGGCAGCCTCGTCTTTGGTCACCAACCACTCAGCTCGGTAGCCCTCCTCGCTCTCTCTTAGAGCTCCGAGGTCCCTGCGCCCCCGCCCCCTCCGCGCTCTACTAGCTGTGATACAGGAGTTGCGGGGCAGGAAAAATCTCGACGCTCAAGGCCAGCGCAGCAAACCGGTCCTAGGGAGAGGGGGATGAGGCGTGCAAAACCAGGGCCTCGAAGGCAGGCAAGGGGGCGCGGGCGCACGCGAAGCTTGGGCCTGGGCCCGGCAGATGTGCCCGGCGCGCTGGCCTCGCGTTCTGCGTCCTGCAGGGAGGCGGACCCGCCCCCCCAAGCGCGCAGGCGCGCGGCGCCCGGCTCGGACCAGAGCTAGGCGCTGGGCGGCCACCGGCTGGCGGGACAGGTAAGCACCCCGCGGCGCGTGGGCTCGGACCCTGAGGACCCTGCGGTCCCTGGGCACCGCGCCACCCTGCTCCGCCCAGGGTGGCGAGGACTCGGGTCTGCAGCCCCGCGCCTCGATCCTTCCGAGCGCCTGGATCCTTCGGAGCGCCTCGGACAGGCAGCGCGGGCTGTGGAGGAGGTTCGGGAAACGCCGGAGGGAGCGGTCGGGGCGGGGCGGAGCGCGGAGGGGGCCGGGCGGGTGCGGAGCTCCCGGCCCAGCTGACCCTGCGGCGTGGCTTCGGGCTGCGATCCAGAGGGCCGAGGAGGGCGGAGGCTGCGTGTTTGGAGATCTGCAATCAATTAAGAGTTTTTCATTAATGGAAAGGAAGTGTGGAGGGCTGGGTTTGGTTTTCTTGTGAAGTGGGTTATTTGGCAAACTTTCCTGTCATTAATTTTCGGTTTTTATAATGGAATTTTTTTCTTTCTCTTTTTATTCCCCCCCTTTTTTGTCATAAAGAGAAAGAATAAAAAGAATTCCGCCATTTTGGCGTTTTAAAAAGTAACCGTTCTGCAGAGCTGTCGGATCAGTGACCGCCCTGCCCGCCTTTGCCTATACAGCCCCGGGAGGCGGGTGGTGGAGCCGGATCCAAGAACCCAGCCCTCAGGGCCTCTTCGGTCCCCTCCCACGTCCGGGCAGCAGCTGCGGCGAGGGGCGCGGCCGAGGTCCCACGTTTTTGGCGCTCAGCCTCGCAGTGTGTTGTTTTTTGGGTGTCTGTCGAGGGATCTACTCGCCACCCAACACCTATAGTGAGGGCATTTATTGGGCATTTTTGTACACAAGGCCTTGGAAGGCCAGGGATTGAGGAAACCTTGTCAGACAACAAGAGAAAATACAGATGGACACACTCAACCAATATTTATTGAGCATCTGCTATGTGCACAGCTCTGGGCCGGGGCTGCAATGGTTGTTTTAGGTCCAGTCCCCTGGAAACAGACTCCAACAGCAAGATTTGAGTAGGTTTTTTGGAGTGCTCTTGCGAATATCACCAGTAGGGGAATGAAGACGGGTTGGGCGGAGGAAGAAGCCAAACTGCTGATGTCGTCTCAGCAGAGGCCTCTGAGAACCTAGAGGCCTGAAACTGGAAGCTTTGGAACCGAGATAGCCCTGCAGAGGTGTTCCAAAGTAAGGCAAGGGCGGGGGGAGTCTTTATACCTCAGAGCAACTCGTCACTGGCTGGCTGTTTCCAGGAGAGCCTTCAAGTGAGGTAGCTCCCTCGGCTCAGAGCCAAGAGAGGCCGACAGCCTAAGACTGAAAACTTTCTTCAGTGTCCACCAGAAACCCAGGTTCTTCTGAGTCCCCTCTTACTTCATGGCAGACTCCTTCTCAGTTTCTTTTGCTAGACCCTCTTCCTCTTCCCAACCTGTAAATGTGGGTGTGCTCCAAGCTTCCCAGTTTTTTTTTTTTCCTCCTGCTCCCCACTGTTTTCTTTATACTCAGTTCTGTGGTTTCCTTCCCTCCCTCCCATCCTCCGTTCCTTTCTGCCTTCCTGCCTGCCTTCCTTTTTTCTTCCACCTTTCCTTTCCCACTGTTTTCTTTATACTCAGCTACATGGTTTTCTTTCCTTCATCCCTCCCTCCCTTCCTCCTTCCCTTCTCTCCTTTCCTTTCTTTCTTCCTTTCCTTTCCCTTCCTTTCCTACAAAATTTTTCCTTCTCTAAAAAATTTTTTGTAGAGGAAATGTCTTACTATGTTGCCCATGCTGGTCTCAAACTCCTGGGCTCAAGTGATCCTCCCACCTTGGCCTCCCAAAGTGCTAGGATTATAGGCATGAGCCACCAGACCTTGCCCCAGGTCTGTGGTTTTAAATGCCAGCTATACATGCTGGTCTTTAAATTTATACTTCCAGCCCCGATCTCATCCATTATCTCCAGAATATAAACTTTATGAGAGCACTTTGTCATGTTTGTGACTGTAACCACCCCAGAGCACAGAATGGTGCTGACACGTACTTGGTCCTCCAATGTTTGCTGGAAAAAAGGCAGCAAACCCAAACAGAAAGGCCATCTTCAAATCCAGCTTCTTCAAAAGACCTGAAATGTGATAGGTTTTGACCAGAGTAAAATTCTTTCAGAAGTAACCACATTCACTCTTAACTGCCAGTGTTTAGAATAAAAAGACTAACTTAACTCTATTTATTTTTTGAGACAGGCTGGAGTGCAGTGGCATGATCTTGGCTCACTAACCGCTGCCCCTTGGATTCAAGTGATTCTCCAGCCTCAGCCTCCTGAGTAGCTGGGATTGCAGGCATGTGCCACCGTGCCCGGCTTTTTTTTTTTTTTTTTTTTTTTTTTTGAGACGGAGTTTCGCTCTTGTTACCCAGGCTGGAGTGCAATGGCGCGATCTCGGCTCACCGCAACCTCCGCCTCCTGGGTTCAGGCTATTCTCCTGCCTCAGCCTCCCTAGTAGCTGGGATTACAGGCACACGCCACCGTGCCCAGCTAATTTTTTGTATTTTTAGTAGAGACGGGGTCTCACCATGTTGACCAGGTTGGTCTCGATCTCTCGACCTCGTGATCCACCCGCCTCGGCCTCCCAAAGTGCTGGGATTACAGGCTTGAGCCACCGTGCCCGGCCGCTTGTTTTTTAGGACTCACTCTGTTGCTCATGTTGGAGTACAATGGTGCGATCTTGGCTCACTGCAACCTCCACCTCCTGGTTCAGTTGATTCTCCTGCCACAGCCTCCTGAGTAGCTGGGATAACAGGCGTGTGCTACCATGCCCAGCTAATTTTTTGTATTTTTGGTAGAGACAGAGATGGGGTTTCACCATGTTGCCCAGGCTGGTTTTGAACTCCTGGCCTCAACTGATTTGCCCACCTCAGCCTCCCAAAGTGTTGGGATTATAGGGGTGAACCATAGTGCCTGTCCTGCCCAGCTAACTTTTGTACTTTTTGTAGAGATGGGGTTTCACCATGTTGGCTGGTCTCCAACTCCTGAGCTTAAACTGATCCACCCACCTTGACCTCTTGAAGTGCTGGGAATTCAGGCATGAGCTACCACGCCTTGTCTAACTCTATGTAAAGGTATTTAAAATGGTACAAGTACCATTCAGCTGTGCAGAGCAAACAAATTGGAATTGATATTCAGGGAATTATGTTTTATAATTTTTACTTTTTTTTTTTGAGGTGGAATCTTGTTCTGTTGCTTTGTTACCCAGGCTGGAATGCAGTAGTGTGATCTTGGCTCACTGCAACCTCCACCTCCCGGGTTCAAGCGATTCTCTTGCCTCAGCCTCCCAAATAGCTGGGATTACAAGTGTCTGCCACCACGCCTGGCTAATTTTTTTGTATTTTTAGTAGCAATGGGGTTTCACCATGTTGGTCACACTGGTCTCGAACTCCTGACCTCAGGTGATCTACCCACCTCAGCCTCTCAAAGTTTTGGGATTACAGGCGTGAGCCACTGAACCCCGCTAATTTTTTTCTTTCTTTAGAGACAGTATCTTGCTCTGTCACCTAGACTGGTATACAATGGTGAGATCATGGCTCACTGCAACCTTGGCCTGCGCTCCAGCAATCTTCCTACCTCAGTCTCTGGAGTAGCTAGGACTACAGGCATGCACTGTAACACCTGGCTTCTTTTTATTTTTAATTTTTTTAATAGAGACAGGGTCTCCCTGTGTTGCCCAGGCTGGTCTTGAACTTCTGGGCTCAAGCAGTCCTCCCACCTCGGCCTCCAAAGTGCTGGGATTACAGGTGTGAGCCACTGCATTGGGCCTATACAGTGTTTTTTTGTTTGTTTTTTGAGATGGAGGCTTGCTCTGTCACCCAGGCTGGAGTGCAGTGGTGCGATCTCGGCTCACTGCAACCTCCATCTCCCGGGTTCACGCGATTCTCCTACCTCAGCCTCCCCAGTAGCTGGGATTACAGGCACATGCCACCAAGCTGGCCCCATGCAGTGTTTCTTATTAACAAGTTCAAGTTACTGAAATCCAACACAAGTACTTATTAAGCACCTACTATGTGCCAGGTACTAAGTGTTGGGGATATAGCAGTGAACAAGACAGTCAGCATTTATGTGAAGATGACTGATCAAACACAAAAATAAATGAAGATCACTGTTGATTATAGTGAAGGATGAGCAAGAAAGAAATATATAATAGTAATGAGACAGAGCGTAGTGGGATGGGGAAGGGGTGTGCTACTTTAAATTCTTTGGTCAGGCTGGGGTTGATGGCTCACGCCTGTAAACCCAGCACTTTGGGAGGCTGAGGTGGGTGGATCACCTGAAGTCAGGAGTTGCAGACCAGCCTGGCCAACGTGGTGAAACGCCATCTCTACTAAAATACAAAAATTAGCTGGGCTATGTGGTGTGCACCTGTAATCCCAGATAGCAAGCTGAGGTAGGAGAATTGCTTGAACCCAGGAGACAGGTTGTAGTGAACCAAGATGGCACCACTGCACTCCAGACTGGGCAACAGAGTGAGACTCTATCTCAAAAAAAAATTTTTTTAATTGCTTGGTCAGGAAAGATCTCTTCTGAGGTGACTATTGAGTTGAGGCCTGGAGGATGGGAAGGAGCCAGTCAAGCAGAGAGCCTGGGGAAGGGTATTCCAGGGGGACAAACAGCAAGGGCAAAGGCTGTGACATGGGAATGTTGGTAAAGCAACAGAAGGAAACCAGAGTCTGTTGAGTTGAGAGAACAGGGGAAGAATGATGAAGGATGAGACCAGAGATAAAAGCAGGGGTCAGATTTTCTAGGGCAAAGCACTTTAATTTTACTGTAAGGGCAATAGAGAGCCACTGAAGAATTTAGACAGGGAAATGATGTGATTTGGTTTATGTTTTTAAAGCCTTTTCTTACTGGAGAGTAGATTGTAGGGGTGCAGGAAAGGAAGCAGGGAGATGGGTTAGAAGGCAATTTCAGAAGTCCAAAGAGAGCTGACGTTGGCTGGGACTAGCATGGCAGCAATGGAGAGGGAGAGAAGTGGTTAGACCTTCAGTGTTTTGGAGGTAGCACCGACAGGCCAATTTTAATACGTATAAAGCTGTGCTGTCCAATACAACAGTCATGGCTACTGTCGTTATTTATTTATTTATTGTCAGAAACAGTGTCTCGCTATAGTCATGGCTACTGTTGCTATTTGTTTATTGTCAGAGACAGGGTCTTGTTGTGTTGCCCAGGCTAGCCTCAAACTCCTGGGCTCAAGCCGTCTTTCCATGTCAGCCTCCAGAGAACTGGGACTACAGTCCTCCACCATTGTACCTACCTACTGGTCACTATTTAAATTTAATTAAAATAAAATAAATTCACTTCCTCAATCATAGCCCATTTCAAGTGCTCAGTAGCCATATGTGACTAGTGCCTATTTTGTTGGACAGCTTAGGTATTAGACATTCTCATTATCACAGAAAATGCCAGACAGTGCTCAATACATTTTGACAGTGGTCAATACATTTTAGGCGCTGAATAAATAGATATTAAGTATATTCTTTGTATCTCTAGGTCTTTGTCTTTACCTATTGCATGAACTCTATTAAATGCTTCTTCTGCCTTTGCTTTATTAAAACAAAATCATATACTGACTTGACTGCATTGTCATACACTACATTTTTATGCTCTTCAGATGCATACATTTGTTCAACAGATGTTTGACTGCCCGCCCTGTGCTTGGGGTTGGAGGGAGTGGTGGACAGGGCCATAAAAGAACATGATCAGGAAAGATCCCACCTCCCAGGAAGATGAACACTGTAAGGATGAAGGAAAACCTGATACTTAAGGTCTCTGAATCCCCAGAGGGAGGATGGAGTGATTCTAGTGGGGAGAGAGGTGGGGTCAAGAAAAAGGTGAGTTTGGATGTGACCTGGGCTATGTTCTGAAGACAATTGCAGACAGAACCTTGACCTGAGTCATGCTTCCCAGAGTCGGTTCTGTACATCACAGTTTACTAAGTACCCTCACATATGCCACCCTGCCCATCCTTACAGACACTGGGGAGGTGCAGGGCCTGGCCAGAACAGCAGCCAGACCTGATGCTGGTCTCTGAAGGACCCTACTTCCCACAGGGCTGAGGCCTTTCTCTGCAGGTTACAGATTTGAAGGTAGCCAGCTTCTCGAAGAACCCCATCCCTTCATGTCACCATTGCTTCTATAACAAAAGTCCCCATCTGATCGCCCTGGGGGCTATGTTTGGCTTGTAGGCCTGACAGGATGGAGGGGCATGCTGAAATGGAGATGCTGAGGACACTGAAGGGGCCTTCTACAGGGGAGGTCAGCGTGCACTTGGTGGCCAGAGACAGCCCCGGTTCTGGTCCTCACCTGCCCGCAACTGCCTTCATCATTCCAGGTGGGTCAAGGTAGGGTAGGAGTCTAGGGAGGAAGAGCATGTCTGTACTTGTTCAAGCAAGTGTGGATCCTGGAGAAGGGATGACCGTTTTCACTCTCCACCTGCCTTCCTTCACATGCCTACACATGCATGGCAGGACTGAGGCAGGGCCACTAGACTCACCCGTGTCGTGTTTATTTGTATATCTGTTTACAGCCAGCTCGGCCACCCTCAGCCTGCCCAGCAGTGCCCTGGATGTGTCTTGCTTTCCCCGGGAGCCAATCCACGTGGGCGTCCCGGAGCAAGTGGCCGGCAGCGAACCAGTTCCTGCCACCGTCCTGCCGCAGCTTAGCGCTGGACCAGCCAGCTCCAGCGCCAGCACAGTGCGGCTTCTGGAATGGACAGAGGCTGTGGCCCCGCCCCCTGGGAGCGGCCTGCGGGTCAGTGTCTGTGGGGATTGGCTAAGCTTTGTAAACCACCGCCATGGGGCGGGGCTTGCAGGCCCGGAGGCAGGACCTAAGACGGAAGTTGGGGAAGCTGGCTAAGATGATGGACCCTAGGGCTGGGCTTTGAGTGAGGGACTCTAGGGGCAAGGCTTGAGTTGAAGCATTCCGAGGCCCTAGGGACCATGGGGGCGTGGCTTGGAGTGAGGTACTCTGGGACTGGGCCTGTGGGTGTCTGGGGGCGTGGCTTAGAATGGGGCACCCTGACTGGGCGTGTGGGAGTTTGGGGGTGTGGCTTAGAGTAGGGTACCATGGGACTGGGCCTGTGGAAGCCTGGGGGCATGGCCTAGAGTGGGGCACCCTGGGACTGGACTCAGCAGGTGCTTGGGGGCGTGGCCTGGAATGAGGGTTTGGCTAGTATAGCTCGGAGTGAGGCACCCTGGCTTGGAGTCTTGAGGCCTGCTGAGGGGCGTGAGCTGGCATGAGGCAGTGAGAGGACCATGACACCGACTCCGAGGTGGGTCAAGGACCCATACGGAAGTCGCGATCCTCAGACCTTCCCGTGCTCCAGTTCCGGATAAGCGAGTACAAGCCGCTGAACATGGCGGCAGTGGAGCAGCCTCCGACCCCCGAGCTGCGGCGGGAAGGCGTGACCGAATACAAAGATGGCGAGGCGCCGGCTGGAGATGGCGAGGAGGGTCCCCGGCAGCCGGGTAGGAGCCCTGCTCCCCAGGCCTTGAGCTGGGCCCTGTGCGGGTGGGGTGAGGCCTGAGCTCCATGAAGACCTGGGGCGGGGGCGGGGCCTGGGGTGGTCCTCGGGTGGAGGAGGTTGGAGAAGGCCATCTGGTGTGGAGACGGACCAAAGCGGAGGCAGGGCCTGAGGGGGCGTGGGCGGATCCTGAGTGTGGCTGTGATGAGGAGGGAGGCCTGAGGCCCATTTGGCCCCCGCAGAGGACCACCCCCAGAATCCTCCAGAAGATCCCTCTCAGGAACCCCCAGAGGATGATAGCACCTGTCAGTGCCAGGCGTGCGGGCCTCAGCAAGCCGCGGGTCCAGATCTTGGTTCCTCTAATGATGGCTGCCCTCAGCTGTTCCAGGAGCGGTAAGGGGAGGAGGTCGCAGCCCTACTTGCTCTGCCTTCAGCCCCCAAAGCCTCATTTCTGTTCAGGGGTTAGGAAAGGGGCTGGGTGGTGCAGGGCGGGTGGTTCCTTCCCTAAGGCTGGCCCTTCCTTAGGTCAGTCATAGTGGAGAACGCCTCAGGCTCCACCAGCGCTTCTGAGCTCCTCAAACCCATGAAGAAGAGGAAGCGCAGGGAATACCAGAGCCCATCAGATGAGGAGTCGGAATCAGAGGCTATGGTAGGAAGAGGGCAGTGGGGAAGGGAGAGGGAAGCTATAGCCTTGCCTTAATTCCCACTGTCCCCTCCATCAATCCAGGTTATGGAGCTGGGGCGGAGAAGACACTCATAATGACTCACTCATCGTATTTTGGGGTTCCATCCTGAGTCAGGTCCTAAACTTGATTGGAGAGAAATGAATTAATCACTCTCCTGATTTTCCAGAGCTCCCATCTCAGTCTAATGTCAAGGTTAAAACTTGGTCACGTGAACTAGCAACCAAAGTAGATATGCAGGCAGCTGGAATACTCCATAACTGGAGTCCAGTGGCTAGGCCAAAGGCCAGGGAGCACAGGGCTCTTGCTGCAGAAGCTGGAAGGGACAGAGCATGAATTCTGTTGGGCATGTAAGATCACAAAGCAGGTTTTTGTGTCCTCAGTTTCTCTACTGGATAACAAGGAGAGTGGTAGTCAGGCATTTTAATTAGGATGTGCATGCTCGCATGAGTCTGTGCTCAAGTGAAAAAGGGTTGTCTGCTGGAGCTGGTGGCCTGGAAGAAATTCTGCCTGTTTGGGGCAGAACACCACATGGCCAGAGAGCCAGGTCGGGGCCAGGATCAGAGGCTAAGACTTCATCCCAAACAATGAGGACAAGAAGCTGGTATCAGGCTTGCCTTCTACAGGAGAAGCGAGAAGAAGGAAAGGATCCAGAGGGACAGCCCACCACTAGCACCCCAGAGAGTGAGGAGTGGAGCAACAGCCAGCCTGGTACGGTGGCCTGTGTGTATGTATTCGTGTGAGGTGTGTATAGGGGCTTTGGAGGTGTGAGGCTGGGAGTGTGGATTATGATTATGATGGTAAGTTGTACATACATAAATGAGCATGAGTTAGTGTATGTGAAAGAGAGAGAGACAGTGAGAGACAGTTTTGGGTTTGTGTATTAGTGTATGAGTGTTCTTGGAGGTTATATCATTTGTTTGTTTATCCTCTATTATCCAGGCATGACTAGGCCCCACCACCAGGGAGATCTTGGCTCAGTTTTTGAAGACTTGAGTAGCTTTTACTGGCACCACATGTCATTGCTCCTTAGTGGTGGGACAAGCCTGCACTGGTCATTGGTCTGACATTCCTGTTTGGAACCCCATTCTGACTCTTTGATTCTAAGAAAAATGAAGCAGAGATCATTCATAGCTCCAACCCTCAGGCCTTCTCTATTACCATCTCCACATTCCATGTGACAACTGTCAACTGTAGCTAAGTAGCATTGTCACACTTGCAATCACATAGATACTATGTAGCAATTTGTTTAATGTCTCTTTTCATCCCTCAAAACCATCCACATAAGGATGGAATCTGTTTTTTTTTATTTTCTAGAATTTTTTAAATTAGAATTTTTAGAGGGTGACAGGGTCTTGCTCTGTTGCCCAGGCTGGAGTACAGGGATGCAAACACAGCTTACTGAAGGCTTGACCTCCTGGGCTCAAGCAATCTTCCCGCCTCAACATCCTGAGCTGCTGGGATGACAAGTGCATGCCACTATGCGTGACTAATTTTTAAAAAATTTTTAGAGATGTGGATCTTACTCAGGCTGGTCTCTCTCTCTCTCTCTCTCTCTTTTTTTTTTTAAGAGACAGGGTCTCGCTATGTTGCACAGGCTGGAGTGCAGTGGCTATTCACAGGCTCTATCCCACTACTGATCAGCACCGGAGTTTTGACCTGCTCCGTTTCCGATCTGGGGCCAGTTCACCCCTCCTTTGGCAACCTGGTGGTGCTCAGGCTGGTCTCAAACTCCGGGCTTCCTAAAGTGCTGGGATTACAAGTGTGAGGGACCACACCTGGCCCTCTATTTTATTTTGTTTATTTATTTTTTGAGACGGAGTCCCACTCTATTGCCCAGGTTGGAGTGCAGTGGCACAATCTTGGCTCACTGCAACCTCCACCTCCTGGGTTCCAGCAATTCTCCTGCCTCAGTCTCCCGAGTAACTGGGACTACAGGGATGTGCCACCACACCTGGCTAATTTTTGTATTAATAGAGACATGGTTTCTCCATGTTGGCCAAGCTGGTCTTGAACTCTTGACCTCGGGTTATCCACCTGCCTCAGCCTCCCAACTGGTGGGATTACAGGCATAAGCCACTGCACCCAGCCTTTTTTTTCTTGCTTTTTTTTTTGAGACAGAGTCTCATTCTGTCACCCAGGCCGGAATGCAGTGGCTCATGCCTGTAATCCCATCATTCATGATCAGCCTACCTCAGCCTCCCAAAGTACTGGGATTATAGGTGTGGGTCATGACACCTGGCCTTATTTTTATTTTTATTTTATTTTTAATTTAAGAGATGGAGTCTTACTTGATTGCCCAAGCTGGAACTTAGGGCTATTCACAGACACACTACAGCCTTGCACTGCTGGGCTCAAGGCATCCTCTCACCCCAGCCTCCAGAGTAGCAGGGATTATGGGCATGTACCATTGTACTTGGTCCTTGTATCTGTTTTATTAATCATTGTATTCCTGGTGCTCAGCTACAGCCTGGTGTGGAATAGGTTCTCAATCGATGTTTGTGCAGATCACGAGGTCAGGAGTTTGAGACTAGCCAGTTTGAGACCAGCCTGGCCAACATAGTGAAACCTCATCTCTCCTAAAAATACAAAAAATAAAAAATAAAAATAAAGCCAGGCATGGTGGGTTGCACCTCTAATCTCAGCTGCTTGGGACTGAGGCAGGAGAATTGCTTGAACCTGGGAGGCAGAGGTTGCAGTGAGCCAAGATCATGCCACTGCACTCCAGCCTGGGTGACAGGGCAAGACTCTGTCTTGGGGAAAAAAAGTACACACACTTTAAGGCTGGGCACGGTGCCTATAATGACAGCACTTAGGGAGGCTGAGGTGGGAGGATCACTTGAGCTCAGGAGTTTGAGACCAGCCTGGCAACGTGGCAAAACCCTGTCTCTGCAAAAATTGCAAATATTAGCTAGGCATGGAGTAGCTGTGGTCCCAGCTACTCCGGAGACTGAGGCTGGAGAATCGCTTGAACCCAGGAGGCAGAGGTTGTAGTGAGCTGAGATTACATCACTGTGCTTCAGCCTGTGTGACAGAATGAAACCGTGACTCAAAAAGGTACTCAAAAAAAAAAAAAAAAAAAGAGACAGAGAGAGAGATGAAGTCTTGCTGTATTGTCCAGGCTGGAGTGCAATGGCAATTCACAATGCAGTCATAGCACATTGTAGCCTCAAGCTCCTGGACTCAAGGGATCCTTCTGCCTCAGCTTCCTGAGTAACTAGGACTACAGGCACCCTACTCTTGCTTTTTTTTGTTGTTTGTTTTTCTAAATGGTGTCATTTTTTTTTTTTTTTAAGACGGGGTTTCACCGTATTGGTGAGGCTGATTTTGAACTCCTGACCTCAGGTGATCTGCCTGCCTTGGCCTCCAAAGTGCTTGGATTACAGGCGTGAGCCACCATGCCTGGACCTGAATGGTGTCTTTTAAGGAGCAGAAAGCTCATTTTTATGATGTCCAATTTGTCCATTTTTTTAATGATTAGTGCTTTTTCCATACATTTTTATAAGGTACCTGTTCTTAATAGCTTTATTGAGATATATATCACATACTATATAATTCATCCATTTGAAGTGTAAATTCAGTGGTTTTTTTGGTGTACTCACAGAGTTGTATGATCATCTCCACGATAAATTTTAAAACATTTCCATCACTCCCAAAAGAAGTCCCGTAACTATTAGCCATCATTCCCCCTCACCTCCCTCCAGTCCTAGGCAACCAGCAGTCTGGTTTTTGTACACCAGATTTGCCTACTTTGGACATTTCATATAAATGGAATTAAATATGCAGTCTTTTATGACTGGCTCTTCACGTAGCACAGTGTTTTCAAGGTTTACATATTTTAGGCTGTCTATCATTCATTCCTTTTTATTGCTGAATAATATTCCATTGTATGGGCCTACCACACTTTGTTTATTCATCAGTTGATGGACATATGGGTTACTTCTACTTTTGTGCTATTATGAATAGTGCCAGTATGAACATTTGTATACAAGTTTTTGTGTGGACATATGTACTGATTTTTCTTGGGTATATTCTTAGGGGCAGAATTATTCAGCCATATGGTAACTTTATGTTTAGCCTTTTGAGGAACTGTCAGACTGTTTTTCAAAGTGTCTGCACCATTTTACATTCCCACCAGCAGTATATGAGGATTCCAGTTTATCCCCATCTTCACCAATGCTTGTTATTATCGTTTTTATTATGATCATTCTAGAGGTTATAAGATGGTATCTCATCATGGTTTTGATTTGCATTTCCCTAATGGCTAATGATGTTAGCATCTTTACATGTGCTTATTTGCCATTTATATATTTTCTTTGGAGAAATGTCTATTCATATCCCCGCCCATTTTTAAATTGAGTGTAAGAAACAGATTTTATATTGAAATACAAGGATTGCCATATGGAGTTGGTGAACAAGTTGAGATATGAATGTAAAATTCTTTACCAGACATTAATCAGTATGCCACTTAGAGCAACACTTTCTTAACTGTGGTCCTTAATCTAAGTTTACATGTGCAATTCTGTGACTTGTTTATGTGAATTGTCCATGGCTTTCATTACATTTTTAAAAAGGATCCATTTATATTTCCTAGAAACCAAAGGCAATTTTAATGGCTGACACCAGGTAAACAATAAACTATAGCATTTTGGAGCTCAGCCTCTTCAGTTTGTTGTTCCCAGGCATAGATCCCTATAAGGCACAGGTTAAACATAAATATCAGGCTCTTGATTAAACTTTCAGTGTCTTAAAATGAACTGATTATGAATTGGCTAACCATGTTGTATAGGAGAGAGGCAAACACACAAATATCTCTAGCAAATTGAAAGCAAAAAGACCCAGCACATGGTGGTACCCTGATGACTGCTTGTAATTGATTGGTTGGTCTTGAGTCTTGGCATTCCATTCTTCTCTCTGCATTTTCTGTCTTTTCTGTAGACATTGTAGTGAAAGATCTGACTAGAACCATTAACTTTTGAATTATCTGTACTGAAGTAACTGAAAGCATGCTGAATAAACTTCCCGAGGGAGTGAGAAGAAAGGAAAGAAGATGGGAGGGAAGTATCGTGTTGATTTTTAGGTTTGCATCATTGAGAAGCAGGGTTGAGGGAAGAGGAGGAAGAAATGGAATGGAAACAGAAGAGGAAGAAGAATAGAGCTAAGAGAATGTGGTAAGAAAGAAATGCCAAGATGGAATGGGTGGTTGGTAGCACATATGAAGATCAAGAGAGTTGAAGAATAAGAATAAGTCATTGATATAGACTTTAGTAACTGAAGAGAGCAGTTTCACTGCTTTGTAGAAGTAGGCATGAGACTAGGTGATTAAGAAAGGAATTGATCTAAAGGATGTAAAGTTCATAATATCCTCCTTTTAATTATTTCATTTATTTTTTATTATTTTTAGAGACAGGGTCTTACTATGTTGCCCATATAGGCTTTAAACTCCTGAGTGCAAGTGATCTTCCTGCCTCAGCCTTTTGAGTAGCTGGGACTGCAGGCATATACTGCTGCACCTGGCTCCCCTTTTTTATTTATAGCAAACTTAATCTTCATTGATACTCTACTTAACATATGTCAGAGTAGGTCTGTGCCCTAAGATGAGCAACAGAACAGGTATCCTAAATATCATAAGAGATTTTCTTCACACTGTTCCTCTGAGTACAGCATGCAGTTTCAGAGCCCCTAGTATTGCCACCTAACATTTTATTCCT